CGCCTCGCCTTCCTGGCCTTGGCTGCCAACAGTTGGCTCCGGAGGCGGCGGGCGACGCGTCGCCCAGCCCAGCCAGGCGTGCCCCCACTCCACCAGCGCGGGGGGTCCCCCTCCTCGCACCTTTCCGCGGGAAGATGTCCCCCGCCGGGGCCGGGCCAGGGGTGCGCCAGGCTCGAGGGCGGCGCTGCAGGAGCCTGGGGATCCGCGGTGCGCTGGGCGGCCGCGGCAGGAATTAGGGGACATGCTCGTTAATTGGTTCCACGATCAGCCACCGTCTGCCGCCCGTGTGCACGGATCAAACCTTAATTGGTCTTTACATTTATCATGGTGAATTGCGGACCTACAAACAAGCCCCAGCGGCTGCTTCGGCGGAGCAGTCGCCCCCGCCCCCCAGGGATGGGGGGCGGTTGTTGTTATTTAGACATCTTTATCGCTGGTAAACTGGGCAGATTGGGAGAGGACCAGGACCACATGGTTTTCACCTGATGGAGTCACAGTCACTCTGGCCTCCAAGGCCCCTCTGAGGGCACTTGGTCTGGCTCCAGGCCCTCCTCCCCCGTGGTGCATTTTGCCAGGGATCCGGCTGGCTATGTGGGCCCGCCCTAGCCCTGCGCCCCCTCTACAGGGACCCTCACTCTCCGTCTGCCGGACCCAAGAGGTCAGCAGCAGTCACAGTAGGCCCACAGTTTGGACTAAAGGCGACTTTCTGAAGAAGGGAGGAAAATTGGTGGGGAGGAAGCCGGTGGTTAAAGGCCTTCAGGAGGGAGTGCAGCAAGAACCTTTTGAGAATATTAGACCAAATCTTAGAAAATCTTTCTGGCAACGTTTCGAACCGGTTCGTTCCGGTTCGACCTCCTGCTTAGAATTTGTCTTTCTACCTCAGATACACAGAATCATAATCTGCATTTTAACCATGTAGATTCTGTTCCAAAATATCTGGAGAAGAAATACAAATTCTCAGCAGAAGGTTGAATTCGAATGAGCCACTTCGAAGTTCTGTATCCTGCAGAGCAAGCCCTGTCTCCCATTTCCCCAGCAATGAAACGGTCATCTGATGAGTCAGTCCACAGCTGAAACGATCCATATTCTACTAGGTAGGTGGATGGAGTCGGTTAGAAATAAAGGTGTGATGGACCCGTCAATAGAGGAGTGGCCCGTAGGTGCAGAGATGTGGGTTTTCTATTGGACATGAAAGCTGCTGCTTGGGGACGCTCTCGTCACGACTAAGGGAAGCCTCTTCAGCCCAGCTCCCCTCCCTACAGACTGCAGCTCTGTCTAGACGTCTAAAGGAAGGGGTGGAGCTTGGACGTAGGTTGTGTTTTTAAGGGTCTTCATTGTTAGATTTTACACTTATCTTACGTTATGGCAGGACAAAATGCTCTACAAAGTTATGCCCTCTTTGTGACCTCCCAGACTCTGATTTCCCAAGTGGCAGGGTGGCTTGACATGAAATACCTCCATCACAGAACCACGGGTTTAGATGTTTGCTGGTAATGAAAAGGAAGGGGCTTGGCAGCTCTAAACCCTGCTCTGTGATAAGGACATCTTTCAGAGACCAGCAAAGCCGGGGATTTCATTAGGGTGCTGTCACGCTCACCTGTAAGAAGGCAATCTGTGAGGACACCAGTACATCCTGGTGGTACTTACCCTTTGACTGCACCAAGCCACGCACCCATCTACAACTCCTTGGTTGTACACCCTTTCTGCATCTGGAACCCATGGTAGGCCCTGGAAAACTTCTATCTCAACTTACTGTACCAATTTTAGGCACCACCACCCCCACCCCCACCCCCACCCCGCCCCGCCCATCAATATGAGCAATCTAATTATCTGGAGTCATCACAATTTTCTTTTAATAGTTGAGATTAGTATTATTATTATTTTACATTGAATTCTGTGAAATTCCATGCAGAGACCTAAGATCCCACTTTATGAAAGTCTGTTTGTTGAGTGGCTGGCTAAAGCGACCTGTGTGTGGACCCAGCCAATCATTAAGAATCTAGCAAGCAAGAAGTCACCCCAGCAGCCATAGCTGGTTAGCCTGTTATTCTGCTATTGTTTGGGTGGCAGGGGTGGCAGGGGCGGTCAGGAGCTGAAGCCCGACAGCTGGTGAATTGTACGACTTTCCATTTAGGCCGCAAGTATAATGTTCGGTAATGGAGTCAAAATTTGACTTGTGACCTGGCATTTTATCACCACATTGTTGAAACTGAATGAGTTATTATGTTGTTTGGGAAATGCGGCTCTGCTGGGCTTCATGTATATTTTTACATTTTCCAGTCTGTCCTGGGCTCATCCGACTGTTAGACTGACTGTCATATCGCTGCTGTGCATTTCCCTCAAAGCTGGTAAACTGAAAGAGCAAGAGACAGCAGACAGTGTGAGGGCAAAACTCTCTTCGGTACCTTAGAGTGCACATTTTGCAAGGATCGCTTGTCTAGAGGAGGAAATGGCCTTGTTTCCACATGTGGTTGCTCATCACTGCTCTCCTGAGAGAAACAGCAAGAATGACAAATGCAAGCTGTCAGCATACCTATTAGGGACACTAAGTTGAGGGCACACATAAATATAACATAAGACATTGGATGGTCCTTGGTCACCACAAGCCTAAGTTGAATCTGAACCCATGGCCTTCTGGGTAAAGACCTTGGTCGCCCTTTAACAGGCTCTGCTAGACCCAGGCTAGGCTAGGCTAGGCTGCTTGTTTTTCAGTTCTGTATCCTGTTAAAATTCGTACGGGGCTGTGATGAGCCAATTGACTGCCGTTCTGTGTAATTTAGATTATTCACTCAGGGAAGGGTAGAGGATGAGAACACAGTTCAGGCTGCATATTTCAACTTCAAAGAACGATCTCAATTTCTTCCTGCCAAAGAGTTCATAGTGACCCTGGACGAAGAGCATTGGAGAAGCAGGTCCTGCCTCCGTGAGAAAACTGTTGATCTGAAAGGAGCTGTACTTCAGGCTTTCTCCTTTCACTTGTCTTGGTCGGTTATCTCCGGCTCCACAAAGAAGTGGCTTCTTGGGAACGAGAGTGAAGATTTCCTGGTTTGGGAACTGGTGAAGAAAAGCATCTCTCTCAGAATTGTGGAGGTTCAGCCCGATTTTGACTCTCATGTTTCCTCTGGTATTTACAGCATGATGAGCACGGGGCTGGAATGCTCACTGATTGAAGACATTTTCGGAGTGATTTTATGACTCCGAGATTTCTTTCTAATCTGGAGCACTGATTTAGAGGTTTAATAGCGGTAATTGGCTCTAGCTTAAAGCATTAAAAGATTTGGTTTTTCAGTGGCTCTGCCTGGCTAGATGAGCATTTGCTTCATCACTGAGTGTCTAGGGCGCTGTCCTCCTGGACTGGAGGACTGAAATGCTTACTCTTGAGCTGCTCCAACAAATGATGCAGGCGACCTTCCAGCAGCTCTCCCATGCCACGTGACCTGATGGGAAATGAGATTCTGGTTCACTCCCCCATCAGAAATTAAACTTCATCAAAAGTGCTTTAGGGGGAGAAGCTAGTTGCCAGGGTGGAGAATGAATGAGTGAGAAAGGATGGGCGTCTTCAACTTTGGGGGGTTGGCCTTGTATTCATCTTCTAGGCACAAAGAAAATCACTGCCGCTCTTCAATGATCTTCCCATATAACTAAACACACCCTAATTAAGGCCTTTTTTTCTGTCCGCTTCACCTTCTCACCTTCTTTCATTAAGCCCCACTCTCGAACGTCCCAGCTGAGCAGCGGCAGGGATGGCTGAGAAATGACAGGAAGGCATTTTTCCTTTGTTCGTATGTTTTGTTTTGTTTTTCATCACCAAGCAGAGGATCAGTAATGAGGAGATGGATCATCCTTTCAT